AATCCAACCTTATCGCTTTTGGTATTGTTATGTTATCGTTTTGGGTCCCTGGTGTTCGCATGATCTGGGGCCATACTCAAGAATTTTATTAGGCATGGTGAAGGGACGAAGTGCTTTAGTGCATTCAGAGCCACTACAAGGACGACTCTATGAGTCGCCCAGCTATCAGATTTGAAGGTTCTGTCCCCGGCATGATTGTCAATAGCAATGTCAACTGGACGCTCTGTGCCTGCTCTAGGAGCATCACAACGAAGCACAATCATATCGTCCAGGTGCCACTCTCAAAATTCTAACCCTCCTTCACCTCATCGCTCTCATCGCAAAAAAATGGGCTTCACCAGGATTCATGTCCAAAGGCTGCCAATTCCCAAAATACAGCTGGTCAGTCCAGGTCGAGACTCATCGTACTCACCCCTCTACAAGTCCTTGCTTACAACAGATGTGGCTTACCGCTACAAGCACAAAAAAAAATACACCGACAGGGGGGTCCAAATAATTCTCGCCCGTTTCTTTGGGCAGGCGTAGCAATAGCAATGCAAATTGAAATTCTTGCGCCTGGAGGAACCTGGAAAAATCACGCGGCTCGCGGAATCCAATCTGCCATCAGGGCCCCGGCCATGACTAAGCGGACGGCAAACCAGGGCTGCCCACCCTGTGCCTAACTGTGATTATAGCTATGGAACAGTGGAGGTCAGAATATTCAAAGGATAGCAGCTGCCGTTGTTGCTTGATCTGCAACAGACAGGACATGTTCATATCTGGGCTCAGCAAACATCAAACTGACCTTGAAGAAGAAGGGCTTACAAGGGTACATAGGGGTTATATGGGGTTACATAGGGAAAATGGAAAGGAAAATGGGAGGTACTATGTATCGCTTAGGAAAGTTTAGGGTTTTGAGCCAGCCCTGGCTGCAAGAGCACCCTCTCCAGGCAGCTTCTCCTATTTCCGAAAGTAAATGCACATTTCAAGCAAGCTCTTGGTACAACCCCCTTTGCAACTGCCACGGCGTCCGTGATTGGCGGATAACCTGCCAAAGCTGAACTAGCGACGAACCGAACCCGTGCGCCTTTTGTCGCGCGTCTGGCTTCACGTCGGCTTTCATTTGGCATCCTAAGGAGGAGACCCTGCCCCATTTTCCCTGGAAGCTGCTGTTCCGCTTGGCATGGTCGCAGGCACACCCGCATAGTCAAGTTCCTCCAAGCTGGAAAAAGGCAAGGTCTTCTCTCTAAACTTGACCTACATGGTGCTTAAGGAGGTACTGCGTAGGGAATTGTGTTGCGCAAGGTTTTCAAATTGAAGAGGGGCAGGGAGTAAGGGTTGCTCCTACATTCCCCCTTAAGCACCACTAAGTTGACGGTACGACGCTAGGCTGGCGAACTCTGGCAAACTCAGAAGTGAACCGAAGGCCGTGTATTGGTATGCAACCTATGCCGTTCAAGCAGCCTTCTCCAACCATGGCCAGCGGAAACCGTGTTCTGGCAAGCTTCAACTGAGTTGGCTCCTAAAACCATGTCCGTATAAAGGGTCCCCTATAAAGCCATTAGGGAAAACATCAAATATCCCAGGGGCCTACCCAATCAAACCTCCTAGCTGAGAAAATGTCGTTTGATTTCTGGCTCAAAGTGGCCAGTACCACCAGCCCAGCGCGGCACCTGAAGCGTTTGACTGAGACCTGGGTGAACTCTAGAGGCCCATGCGCATCGCAACAGTAACCCCAGCTTGTTGCCCTTTTTTGGCACCTATGTTCGCTCAAGCACTCCCCTAAAGAACCAGCAAGTAATTACAGGCAGGGGCATAAATGGGACTACATAGTTGGGTCATAACCTAAACAAAAGTACATGCAATTCCTCTTGCAGTTGGCAGTCAGCCTCTAGGTGGCTCATCAAACTTTGACAAATGCTGCAGATGACGGCCTGACTGGAGACTCATCTTAAATGCGGAACACGTTACAGCACTTTGGCTGCGAAATCCCTCCTGCGTGCCGTTATGGATCACACGGTCTTGATCGTTCTGGAGCTTCTCAAGAATAGAGTTCAATGAGAGTTTCCCAATGTATCACAACACGAATATTGCCGACTCCAAACTTGTTCGCGCGGGAGTACATCAGCGTAAATTCACTTCCCACGCAGCCACATCTCACGACATCATGAACTGCTCCTGACAGACTGTATCATGAGGAACGGCGGCCACGAGCAACCCCTTAAGATATAGCCGCCCTGCACTCATCCCATGAAACTTGTGTGTCACAGCTTCAGCCCTGATAGCGTGTCAAGCTCGCCTTGTCGCTTGGACAACTCCTCCAAGTGTCTCCGAATGCTCAGAGCGCGGTCCTCAGGGAAGACAGTCACTCTGGCAATCACCACGCCGAAGCACACTTGCAGGGTTTGCGCACCTTTGCCCTGGTGTTGTCTGCTTGAAACAGGCGCTACCGTAGACTGTGAAATGACAGATCTTCAACCGGTCGATCTGTCAATGTGGTCAGATCTGCTTCGCAGAAAGTGAAACGGAGCTGCCCAAACTTTGCGCGGCAGCGGTTCAACGCAACAAGACGGTTCAAGGAACACGTCATCAAATCCTCCTGCCTACTTATTCCTAGTATCCTTTCCCAAATGATAGTCCAAGACATTCCTGCGGACTCAGGCCCTCATTGACTCATCATTCTTTGTGGATTCCTGTTACTCAGTTTTACCCATCTACGCGGCAGGCCAGCCTTTGGGCCCGCAAGCGTTTCAAGTCTGTAGAACACAGCCGGCTGCGTCTCGCGCTGAGACAAGATGGGGGCTGCTACCTTCCATGGCCAGGCACCAGCACTTGAAGCACCCATCATCCTACCAAAGCCCTACTTGCAGGTGCCTCATGTGGCAAACGTGGCCAAGTGCGTGAGCAAGTGGTCATGGCGGTTCAGCCGCCTGGGGGCACCCCTACATTGCCACACAATTTCATGCCTACATAGCAAAAGCAAATGTCAGGCTTCAGAAGGAGGAAGTGCGCAAGATCTGCAGTGTGGAAAAAAGTAGAGACACAAATTGCACAGCCAGGTCGCGCGAAGTCTTCGGGTGTGTCCCCGCGCTCCTCGATTCCGAGATCCGACCTACACTGCCTGGCTTCGACCTAGAGTCAAGATCCTCTGATCGAAAGTGACACCTTGTGTCCTATCAGATGCTCCCTGCAGCCTGGTCGAGACATTGGTAGCTCACACAAAGCCTTCACTTCCTTGACCTCACCCTGATAACTACCGAAGTTGGACTAAAGCATCTGGAGGGCATTTGGACGCATGTCAGCGCCATGCTCCAGCAGAATCTGGCACAAACGCTCGTCACCTCATCCAAGACAGGCTGAGGTCAAGGGGGCCTTGTACATCATGCCCTGTCTACCCTTGATGTAGAGGATTCAGAGGATGAAACTCAGCAAGCTCAACGGCTTGATATAGGGATAATGGAAAAGAAAAAGGAAACTACTATAATGGGGTTACATAGGGCTTAGGGTATAGGGCAAGGTTTTGCCACGGGTCGCACCAGGACTACTGACCCCGGAAGGTCAGCACGTCGGAGCCAAGTGGCCAACAAACGCGGCAACTCCCAGCGGCGTGATGCCGTGAATACTTGCAAGCATCCTGCAAGGAAGTAAATGTCAAAAAAAAGTGGCACCTACACAAAATGCCTGAAACCTCAGAACTCCTCCACCCTTAAGAGGCTGCACTGGAAGCACTGGAGAGTTCAGTCCTCATAGTGTAGGAGCCCCACTGCATGCCTGTCAAAGCTGCCACCAGCCGAGCACCACGGCACTCAATGTCGAACCAGCCTCTACAAGAGCAGGAGGGACGCCAAGAAGCCATAGGAACGTCCAAGCTAGGTGCAGCGTCCTAACATTCCAAGAGTTCTGCGTATCACTTCGCCATGCTTGCATCTGCAGCACTGGCAGAAGTGATGGGACAACTGTCGTGTAAGTTGCTGGAATACTTGGGAGTCATTTGGTCCAGGCCAGAGCGAATACTAGTCTGTAGAGAGGAAACTGTCTCTTCGAAGGGTTGTGTGCATGTACGACCCCGGCCTGAAGGCTCTGCCTGGGCGTTGATGTCTGCACGATGTCGGATCAGCAGACTCACCTTACTGGTTCTTAGTAGGGAATAGGGAATGTAATCCTTGTATCATCCCTATACAATATAACCCTAAACCCTAAACCCTCAACCCTAAAGCCTATAATCCCTATATAACCCCTATATAATCCGCCGACCTTGGGGGGCGTGTTGGATGGTTTCAGTAACGGAGAGGGTGAAAACCCTCTTCCTTTCTCCCTTACAGCCTAGAAA